ATTGAATGTGTGCGATTCGTGTGCAACATTTGGGGTGGGGTGATGATTTGTCCGAATAATCTCTCATAAATAAAAGAAAGAAAAACATTTTTGTGTTTGCCTGTGGTTAACAGATGCCAAAGCATGTGGTAATAAACGCCCACTGCCAACGATACCCGCCAGAACAAATTACGACCATCGATTCCACAGGGGTAATTCGCATTCGGCATATTCCAATATGCACTGTTCGTGTGTTGTCATAATCGAATAGACCTGCTATTGATCCGTTTCTGCCCAGTTCACAGTGTGAACTGTTGAATGTAGCTGTTATTCCTTCCCACGTTGTTTTGTCGTTTATTAGATTTTTTTGCTGCGATAAACACCAATACCCATAATAGGTTCGATAATTCTATTGAACCGGCATTTCAGTTCCCTGACTTTTGTCTGAATCCCGTTAGCTGACCGGTATAGATTGACGGGCGTCACATTACCGATTCCGATGCTTATAGGTAAGAAGTTTAGCATAAACGGATAGCGTGTTCGGTCAAAGATTAAGACATCGTCATTTGGTGTTTTAGAAAAGTAAGCTATATAATATATATATATATATATATATATAAGATAAGGAGAAATGGTGGTACTGCTTGTGTTGGTTGTGGTTATGGTGTTGGTGTTGATGGTAGTGGTGGTGGTGATGGTGGTGGTGGTGGCGGTGATGGTGGTGTGGATGGGTACGAATACACCTCCGCCGAGGAGATGTGATAACGACATACACTGTTTCATCACGATCACCAAAACGCCATATAAGACAGAAAAATCACTTTGGTAACAAAATCTAACACTTCGACCAGTAGAATATCAAATGGGCTTCATTTCTCTGAACTTGAGCGAATCTACGATGCATGAAAATGCAAACTTCCAGATGGAGTTTAACTCATGAATAACATCCGACGAAAAGCACTGGGCTGCTGCCTCGTTCTTGATAGCATTCATCAGAAGTGAGTACCGTTTCTGTGCCCTGTCAGGTGTCTGATCGCAAATTTGGAACTCGTGTGTCGGAACTAGAAGGGCGACGGGAAACATATTTATCGTGCGACTGTGACGATCAATGTGACATGTTACTCTTGTTCTTTTAGCCCCCGAGGGTCTGTACATGTATTCATCTGATACTGTGAATTTCACTTCTTCGGGAGCTCCTCCTAGACATTTCCAATTGACATTACAAAATGTGATTCCAAGTAAATATACCAATATACGATAAACCAAAAAGCTATGCAGTCAACTTACCGATCAACTTGCTCAGCTGAAGACTGCTCTGGTGGACAACCGTTTCGCAGTACTGATAAGGGCACCTCATCTATGGATAAAAAATTTCAACCGGGAAGTGAGTTTCTCTGTTTTTGTGTGAATCTGTCTGTCTGGTTGCTACTTAGATAACCAATGATTACGCAAAATCAATATAGAAGTAATATAGTGGCTCACAGAAGTCTAGCTAAGTAGGTGGAGAAATTTCGCTGGCGCAAAATGATTGGGCATTTCATCATCCAGCGGTAATTCGGAAATCTCGCAGAAACATGAAAATTGACAAAAAGTTGCACATTGTCAGACAGTCACTTTACCACACCATGGCGATCATCACACACAAACACGAACAAACGCAGATGATTGAGAACATCTTTTAGATGAATGGAAAAAGATTGTGAACTCCACAAGGATCGGCAACGTACACAGTTGGATGTCAAATCTGCATAATCGATTCCTCCGAAACGACTACACATTGTGTTAGCGGACATTTTGATGCATAGATTGTTTCTTTAAGCGTGGGTAATACCATTCGGATTTGTGTTTTTTATTATGAACGCACAATAGCCAGTCGACTATTTTCGGGTTCAAGGAAACATATCCGAAACATCTGTCGTTTGTAGCATTACCTAACGAATGATTTAACTACTTCCTATTGTCATAATTTGTGTTTCGCTGAAACAAAGTTACGCATATCAGTAGCTGGTGTCCTCCCTTCCCCACCCCTAATCCTCCTGTAATAATTGATTGAGCAAATGACAGAAAATGCACAGAAACTTTTATGATCTTTGGTCTGTTAATCAGTCGTGACTTACTGGACCACTGCGAGAGAAAATTGGCCTGAGGAATTGCTTTGTCCAGACGGTGCACTATTTCGTAGTCGTAAGCAGCCAATGCAATGCTTCGTCGCTGAATCATCGCCACCTTCGGTCTGAAGATCGACTTTTGTGGACCGAATAGGTATTGCAACGCTTAATGATCGGTTACGATGGTGAAACGCAATCCAAACAGGTATTTGTGTAGGCAACGGACGGCCCAATATACGGCTAGTGCTTCTTTTTGCGTCTGCGAATATCCACGTTCTGCTTTGTTGAGTAGACGGGAGATGCAGACAATCGGACATCCGTTCTGTTCGAGGACGGCACCAATGCCAACATCTGACGCATCGGTGATCAAAGTTGGATGTTTTGTCGGAGAGAACGAGGCGAGTACTGGTCGGTCAGTTATCATCTGAATGATTTCACATAGAATTTGTTCACACTCGGTAGTCCATTTGCATTCCGTAGTCGACTGAGCAGCAAACAGCGGTTTGGCTTTTGTGGCGAATTTCGGCATGAAACTCGAATATTATTGGCGACATCCCATGATGGATCTGAGTTGGTTTTGGTCTATTGGTGACTCGAGTTCAGTCAATGGGCGGAAGCGACTTTGATCAGGGCGATAGCCTTTAGCATCTACTGTGAAACCCAAGAATTCCAATTCTGGTTAGCTGAACATACATTGGGAGGCGCGAATTGACACGTTCTTTTGGGCGAACCGCTCCAGTAGATTGAAAAGTCTATCGTCATGCTCGGCCTTCGTTGTGCCAAATACAATGACATCGTCCTGGTACGCTAACACGCCATCGAGTCCACGGAGGACTTCGTCAATTGCCTCCTGGAATATGCCGGAGGATGTGTGGAGACCAAACGGTGGGATGTTGTATTGATACAGTCCCCATGGTGTGTTGATAGTAGTGAAATGCCTGCAGGTTAGTGCTAGTGGAATCTGGAGGTATGCATCGGCTAAGTCAATCTTCGAGAAGCATG